CACATAATATTGTGTTGTAATCTTCTCTTTAACATTAATCATACTTTGTTCAATCCATACATGGAATATACTTTCATTTAAATCATCTTTAAGTAGATCTATGAAAAGCTTGGCCATAAGGTGATCCTTAACTCCATAAGATGTATGCAAAAGTTTGGATGGGACAAACCTTCATCACATTTGTGATAAATCTTCATAGAAAACGTGTCCACAAGACAAGTATGAGAAAAATCATATGATTCTCTTGGAACAAAAGAGGCTCGAATAAACGGAGTTCATAAAGAAAAAATGCAGAGACTCGTGAACTTCAGGAAGGTTATTCCATTCTTCTTTAAACTATGGTGAAATTTGTTCTTCCATGTAGAGCGAGTTAAACCATGGCTCTAGCTTGAAGTCTAATACAAAGAGTAAGAATATTTCATCATAAATAAGAGAATGAAAATAAGACCTTATAGTACATGCCTGCCTTTGTTGATTTTGAGAGTAAGATCATCCTCATGTTATTTGGATGAAAATGATTCATCGAATTTTTTTATTGCATTTGGTTTCCATCGATGAAAATAATCACCAGCAATGATATGTTTTATTAGATAATTTAATCAATAAAGGCTAAGTTTTGGAACAAAAAAAAAAAATCTTACTATTCAAAGTCATTCCAAAATAAATATGGATTTTAGTTAATGCATAAGAATGTAACATTTTTGTCAACTTTCTCAATCTCGATTTAAGTTCTTTTAACCAATACCCACCACTGCCACTAGACTAATTTATGTAGAGACCTGAGCAATTCCATTAGTCGCACTAGTGTGATTATCATGCGGTCAATTTTCCGTATTTCTTAATGTTTAATCATACAAAAAAGCAGTTTATATATAATTTCACCAATCAATTAAACTTATTAGCTTATTCAACAATTAGTTAATCCGTCACATTACTCATTACACATTCATCTTTTCCTTTCTAAGAACAAAGTAGAACAAATAAATCACTATACGCTAGTGATTACGTGTAGCTTATAATAATCAAATAAGTTTCAAATCGTATACAAACCATACGTTTCCATAACTTAATCTAATTTTTATATATGACATTCATAATTCGCAGTCTGATAATTCGTTAATCTTCTTGAGAGAGTATTGTAAATTACATGTGAAACAATAAAAGTATAACAATAACAATGATGGCCTTTATGTAAGTTTCTGAGTATTAAAAGTGAAAAGGCCTCTAGGATAAATTCGAACGTTCCTCGATTTCCCAAATTCCTTTGTCCTCTTCCTACGTCCTTTTCTTTAGATCTCTCGATTAATATTGATACCCATACCGAATAAAATTCAAATACTAGTATACAAAAACTAAATGCATTTACTACTATTTAGTGAGAAAAAAATGCAATAAATATACGATCGTTTTTGGTAGAGTTTTCTTTTCAAGAAGGTACATAGTGCTCAATCATATTTGGATAAACCAGTAAGTAAGAAATCATTGGACAACAAGATCACATAGCTTTTTGTTGCTTGTTTTTTTACGAAAACTTTTAACATTTTTTTTTGTGGTACTTAACATTATTATTTTTTAACAAAAATTAGTCTTAATTTCTTTTATTTTTCATTAACTAGATAATTAGTTTCACGACCCAAAGCTTTTGTTTTTTTTTTTCCTACCAAGAGCTAATTGTATATTTGTACACTCCCACGATCATGTACGAACTCACTAAGTACGCGACGTGGCAGTTACTTGATTCTTGATTCTTGATTCTTGAGGACAAATAGACACGTCTCAAAAGTGTTTATTTAATACTTTAAACTCACTTAGTTTAGTAACCGTTGGAGTTCCATCAATGTGAATAAACATATATAATTATTATAGTCCTTTCAAGTTAGTGGTATTATAATCGTAGTTTACTTCTTAGCTCGACTAATCGTTCTACTGATTGTGTCATGTTTATTTTTTAATAGAATTGTGATATTGATGGATAATAATACTAAATCATAGTTTGACCCAGGAAAAAATACATGCGAGAAAAATATACAATCATTAGAAAATACGAGAAGAAATGTATTATTGTGTTGATCCTATTTCAAATCTACTGTTCCCGTTTTATTATACTACCATTTCAAACACTGTTACATCCCCGAAAAAAAAATGAAAAAGGGCCAACGCATCTAATTCAACACAAAAAAACATCACTGAAGAAAAACTAAGTGTTGAACAAAAAAAAAAGGGAAGAAAACATAAAGTAAAGGGATTTGTGTTTGTGTTTGCAAAGAGTAAAACATCTAAATAATCACTGACACTTTAAAGAGATTTGCATTTTATATAATTTTGTTCTATTATCCTGGTTATAACTTATATAATATCACATAAATCTTGACGTGTTCAACATTGTAGACAGAAATTTTGACGGAATTAACTTCTAAAGCTCATAGAAAAACGTTATGTCTAAAAACACACTAATAAACTAATTTAAGACACCTTTACGACCGTGTAAAACTACGATATATTCATCAGTCGGTAATGTAGCATTTTTAAGATGGGAACATACCTAAAACGATGGACTTTTTAAATATAAAACCAATCAAACGAATTACCTAAAGTCCATAGTTTAGTGGAAGAATTTATATTATGACCTTATGTTTCTGGTATAGACCATAATAACACTCCAAACCACGATTTTCCATATCCTCTCAACAAATTTTCTAATATCATTAACCGATTTTCCAAACGCGGTTTTTTTAAAACATTAAAAATTCACCCGAAGAGGAAGTGGGGTTCCAATGATCCGGTGACGTCAAAACGGACCAGACTCACTACAATACAACTATTGGACTTTTGGTCGACATCATAACACGCTTTTAAAAATAGACTTCGAGCCTCAAAATTGACTCTTACTACTACTACCTCTAGAAGCAAATATCGAGAAACCCCACACACACACCGTGAGAAATACACGTGTGAATTATGTATGCATTCGTCAACAAGGGAGTATAGTATATAGTATTTGTGCGAATCTTAAGAAAGAGGTGGAGAGTGGGGGCCACGCGCCATTTAGGTGGAAGTCTCTCCACTTCATGTTTACTTTTTGAGGGGAAGTCAAAATCCGTACCTACACCTGAAAACTAAAGGTTCGTAGTTGGGATGGTTGTTGCTAGGGTTGGCAAATTCTATATATATCCCATAATTTGGATTCTTAAATTCGTTTTAAGTTTTCATGTATCTACAATATCTCTCGTACAATGATCATACGGATAGATATAGATTTGTTGATATAACTCATATCGTATATGATGATGATCAGTTCTAGATACCCAGATTTTTTTTTATCGGATTCAAGAATTTGCTTCGATCGGTTCTAGAAATTAATGCATCTATAGTTTCATATATGTATAGTAATAATAGGTATAGATAATGTAGGGTATTAATGATAACAATTCATTAATATTTCGCGTATACATTTGACTGTTCTAAAATCAAT